AATTGGCGAGTAACGACAAGGGAATGAGAAATTCAGTACTGTTTTTGGGGAGGTGTGCGGCCGCCGGGGGCCATGGCGGTGCCGTGGTGGATGAGAGCCGGCTGTGTTTCGTATGCTCGAAGGAGAAGTTGGCGGCGGGCCGGCGAGTACTGTCGCAGGTGGTCAAAGGGGAATGGGGATTATGGCTGTGGCATGGTGGTTTATTTATAGAGAGGGTAGGCCCAATCCTGTATGGAGAAGGATTGCAAGATGTGTTCGGTTGTGTTCTTTCCTTGATAGGAAAAGAATGAGACTGGGTAATGGGTTTGGGGTTCTAATGCCACTGCGAGGTTGCAAGAGCGCCGCTGTTTGTACGAGAAATAGTGGGGCGAGGCTAGACAGGAGTTTTTGGAAGAGTTGTTTCAAGAATGCTAAGTATTATTCAATGTTGCAGTGCGATTCCGTGTCCGAGCAGGCTGCATAGCGGCTGTGGCTTGTGTTTTTAGCCAAAAGAAGGAGCGGCAAAGCTGCATGGGGGAAGAGATTGTAGCTCCCTAAAATTTATTATGACAGATGAATGGACACCAACGAAGTAGTGTTGGCCAAGGAAGTCCCCGAAGCATTGCAAAAAGAAAAAAAATCATCATTAAGGGTTGCGAATTTGTTGTGTGGATAAATCCACAGCGACTTAGTTTCAAAACGGCGTTGCAGCCTTGGGGGGAGTTTGGACTTGGAAAACGACAACGTTTGGCAGTCCGCAGTATCGTAAAAGGAGGATGAGAAACAGTGCTGTTGAAAGGGAAGGAAAAATCGGAGCTGTTCGGGGAACACTGTCGGCACCGGGCTGGTAAGGCCAACTGTGACAAAAGCCAATGTGCAGGCAAAAAGGAAAAAATTTACAGAGCCGCTACAAGCAATGTTGTTGGGTAAAAAGGAAAGAGTGTGACCAGCAATGCCATAGGCCTGCGAGACAAATTATCATGAAACACCGTCGTTTCATAGCTTGGTCAATATTGCAGAGCCGCTCCTGCGGTGCTGCGAGGCTCGACACGTGAAAAAGTAAAACGCCGTCGTTTGTACCAAACAGTATTGCCGAAACTCCAACAGCAATACAGAGGGTAAGCCCGCAACGGTGTTTTCAATTTATTTTACCTTTTCCGTCGAACAACAGTGCGGGGTAAGGGGAAGCTGAGCATACTTGATGGCTCTCGCCAAAGAATTTGCCACAACGTTTCAGGCCAAACGTAGTCGTCCCAAGCGAAGCATGTGAAGTGGCCTTCACTTGGGATATCATGTAGTAGTTGTTCCCAAGTAATAGGACTAAGCAGTGATGCATGGCAATGCTACGATGGCGTGGATGTTGGTTTTAGCAGCTAGATTTGGCTATAGGAAATGCATGTGATTTTGGTGGCTTTTGGGAAATAATAATTGCGAGTTTGGCCGCAAGTTTGCATGACAAGTGGTATCTTGTGGAGTTAGAAGTTGAGTTGTAAATTATTTAATATTTTTAGGTGATGGGTTTTGTGTCAACAACTTAGTTCATAAGAATTGATTCTTATAAACTAAGTTGTGGGGGGCATTGTTTACACCTAAAATATTTTTGGGCTGAATTAAATGCCGCATTAAATAGTCTCGGCATTTAATTCGATACCACGATAAAAAACGGTGTCGTTTGGAGTAAAACGGTACCGCGAAACAGAAAGACGGTACCGCTGAGAAAAACGGTGCCGCGAGAGCCTGGCAAGCGGTACACCGCAGGCCGAAAATAAAAAGGCCGCTCGTTTAATGAAGGGTGGAGGAGGAGTTTTGATTATTTAATTATTATTTGTTATTTCTTTGAGGCCCAACGGTACCGCAAGGAGGCTCAGCGGTACCGCGGTACTCCGAAGAATAAAAAGGGCCGCGCGTGCGGGTTCTTGTTGGAGAAGGAGTTTTGTTTATAATTTTTATTCCTTGTTGGAGGAGGAAAATCGGTACCGCGGAGAAACCCGGTGCCGCGAGAGCCTGGCAAGCGGTACCGATGGGCAAGTGACCAAAATTCACCCGGCCCAATGCGAGCGCAGACTGCGGCGTTTCCATGGATTAATATTTTTTGGCTATATCGGCGGTGTCGTTTAATTCAAAACGGTACCGCGAGTAAGCCCAACGGTACCGCGGACTAGCAAACAAACAATGTCGCAAAAGGGAAAAACAAACGGAGTTGTTGTGACGCTTGTGATGGACGGATTAATCAATTAATATTTTAATGGCTGTTTGGGACGGTGGCGTTTAGTTGAAAACGATGCCGCAACAGTTAAAACGACATTGTTAAAATTAACAGCATCGCGAAGCTCAAAAGCTCAACGGGACAAGGAAACGATGTTGTTTAACTAAGAACGACGCCGAGGGGTGAGAGTTTGGCAGCGAGAAAACAATGAGGGTTGTTTTAATTAATTAGTATTTTATAATTATTTTAGACGGTGTCGTTTAGTTGATTACGACGCCGCGGAAGGTAAAAACAACCCTGCGGTACTAGGAAGGAAAGAAACGACATTGTTTAGTCAAAGACAATGTTGCAAGAGTTTAACAGTGTCTTGAAAGCGATGTCGTTTTACCCAAAACAAGGTCGCGAGCTCGACGACGTTGATGAGTTTTAGTTCAGTGTTGAGAAATTCAACAACACGTGAATTCAACAAAGTTGGGCATCAATGGTGGGAATCCGACGATGCCGGGATGCTAAGAGCTACGTCAATGTTGTAAGCCATGAATCACCATCGAAAGTGGCATTGATATTGTGAGTGCATCGATGTTGCAAGGCTGGGAGCTCAGCGTTGCGGTGTTGTTTGTCATACGCCGCCGTTTTATGAACAAGAATGAATGTAGTTTAGCTTGAGGAGTTGGGGTGGATTATCGGACCCGGGTGGATAATTACAAGGGTGGCTCAATGTCGTTTTGTCAAGTTGCTACGTAGCAAAGCGGTTTCGCACTCGTGGGAGTTACGCAACAAGGAGGAAGTTACCTGCGCGGTTGACAGGAGTGAAGACGTGGGAGACAAAGGCGCGAAGGCAGTTACTGCGACGAGAAGAAGCGCGAAGTATAAAGACTGGGGAGAGAGAGAAGTTCGAGACGGCAAAATCAAATCACAACTGCACCATTGCAGAATTATCTTTTTTCTCTCTAGTTTCGTAGAACCGCTCTGTCAAAGAACTCCTTTGCAGAGTCGTAGATCGTAGCTTGTAGTCGTAGTCGCGGAGCTCTCCAGAGGAACCTCCATAGGAGTAGAGGTAACGTAACTTAGAACACTCTTGGTTTGGTTTCTCGTTTCTCGTTGAACACCCTCGTTCGAACGTAGTTTGGAGAGGTGGTGAACCGAGTAACGGTTGTTTGATTAGAGGTCAAAAGTGCATCGATCAAATCAACGACGCCGATACCGGCGGCGGCTATTTGACGATCGTTTTTTGTTTCTGCTTTAATCGATCAAATCAACGGCGACGACATTCGGCGGCGGATATTTGACGGTTGTAATTGACGTGTGTTTTTGTGTTTTTCTTGAAAACCATGCGCAGTTAACACACGAGTTTCGCCAACGAAACAACTGTGTCTTTGCGTCAGATCATCTTGTGGTTAAAAGTGAAGTTGGTATATTATGTGGTAGATGAAAGAGGCAACTGTCACCTCAATAGTCAGTCCCCAAGCAAGAAAATATCTCTGATTCCTCTGCTTTTTCGCAGTCTTCAGAACAACTAACTAGAACCCCCAATTGGCAAAAAGCAACTTTTGGTCTAAAAACTAAAGGGCCAAAGAGTTGCTGAGTGACCAACGCGGGTGATGAGTAAAGGTAGGGTTCGTAAGCGATCAAAACCCCCGACCGGAAAGCAAACCCAGTCCGAAGACAACCGAACCACCAGAATTCCATCGAGAACAAACCAGTGCTCACCTGCACCCGCCCACACCCAAGCCCCATCCCAGTTGTAACAGTAATTATGAGTCACAATGTGCAGTAAAATGTCTCTTGGTGCACAGTAAACGACCCTGGGAGTTTTCTTTTTTCAATAACTCCCATTAGGGGTGATAAACGGTTAGTCGGTTATCGGTTTTAATCGATAACCGAACCGATAAAGTCGGTTAGTGGTTACCTGATAACCGCTACTTCCTTATTGGTTTCGGTTTCGGTTAGTAGTATTTTGGTTAGGGGTTAACCGCTAACCGACTAATCGGTTAGCTGTTAACCGATAAGAAAACCGATAACCGCCTACTAGTGTGACTACATGGTTTTTTACTTTGGCTAAGGGAAAAAGTTGTAAGATTCAAAACCAATTAAAGTCGCAATTCCAAACATCCCAATTCTCACCTATTGCAAACAACCCTCCATCAAGAGTCTCTAATGTTTTTAAGAGTTAGAACTCGAAAGTCACCCCTCTCTAACTCTCCTTTGCACTCGATAGAGTGAACCTTAGGTTGATGACTATGGGCTAGATGAATTGGAGCGAGATCCTCAGATCATTTAGGTTGATGATTTGGAGATAATGAACTTGTTATTTGTTTTTAGTTCTGATTGTGACTTGTGGTTGAATTGTGGGCATGTAGACTTTATGTTGTGGAGTTGTGGTTGAATTGTGTGGTTGCTTTAGGCTTTATGTTCAATTGATTTAGATGACTTTATGGTGTGTGAATCATTAAAAAGGTGGTTGAAATTCGGTTTTGGGTGTCGGTTTCTGAACGAAAATCGAGAAAGTGAACCAGAACCTGCGGTTTCGGTAACCGCAATGGAAAACCGAAACCGATGTTTGCGGTTTTCGGTTAACCGAAGTCTCTGTCGGTTTCGGTTTCGGTTAGCGGTCTTGGGACAATTTTGATTGCGGTTAACCGATATTTCGGTGCGGTTAAATCGAAACCGCACCGACTAACACCCTAACTCCCATACTATTCCAGTCGTACAATCTGGTCGACAGATGGGAAGTACAAACAAAGGCCATGAAACGCTGTCGTTTGGATGCTGTGGGTGACCGAGTGAGAGCCTGAAAATATCATTTCTGGGCCGTTCAGAAAAGCGGCGGAGGTAGCGAAGTCATCAGAAAGACTGTCAAGTAAAAACTAAAAAGCGAACAGCTGTAGGAGAAGACGTGCGACGAAGCTTTGCCCTTCAAGAATGGCGATATCAGGGGATCTCCGAGTCTCTGCATCGCTAGCGTCTTACCCTAAGCACCCTCTTCGAAACCTGCATTCTTCGTCGACTTCTAAGGTTATTTAAGCTTCTTCCTTTGCTTGGTTCTCCTTTCTTTGGCCCATGTTCTTGATTAATTCCTTGTGCTTTTATATGTGGGTTTTGGTGAAATTCATCACATTTCGATGTTTCAACAGTTGGGTATGCCTGGAAATTTGTTCAGAGACTGAAATGTGAAAGCCTGGGACCTTGTTATGTAGTTGTGGAAAGCCAAGTGATTGATTAGTTGGGAAATCCTTTTTCCCCTTCCGGTTGTGAATCTAATTAGCGGAATTTGACTGTAAGGTTTCGTTTCACTTGTCATTTGGTTGCCAAGTTGTTTCTTGCCATATGATTTAGGGACTTGATTTACAAATTTTAGGGTTTAGCTATGGATTTCTCTTGTTTACTGTCTTCTGTTTTCTTTCATCAACTTGCTCTTGGCGGTTGTAATTCGTTTATGTCAAATGCACTTGAAAATGTTGCGGAGCTCTCACATCTGAGTGAGGGCTCCCTGTTGTCTTACTCACATTTCATAACTCCGATACCCTTTTCTGTGTCATGTGTTCTGTTAAATTGCCAATGTCTGGGTTGCTGTCGGATCACTCTGTTACTGGATTAGTCTGTGCAGTAGACACGTACTAATCTTCAACGCATTGGGTATGACAATAGAAGTCTAGGGTCATTGACAGTGAGTAGTTCTACTATCAATTTATAACCAATGGCTTACAGGTCTTGTGCCCCTTCTTTATCCTGCAGTGGAGTTGGAATTCTTCAAAATTAGAATTCAGCTTAGGAGAGCATCTCTAATTATTTCATCTCATGGTTTGGGAACTGCATATGTTTACAATTCAGCGCAACAGTCAGCTTTCTTCAGAATGTTATTTTTCATTCTATTTTTAAATTATTCTTTGGAAGTATGGTTGTTTAGGTCTTCCTACGTTGTTACAAGTCCTATGAGTCTGACTGGATGAATGCCGAACTGCAATAACTAAGTGTATTTTGTGCTTAATCAATGAATATCAAAGCAAATGTGTTCCCACAATAACTGAGCCTTTGTGATGCTCTATATTTTTAGGTGGACTTCAATGCTTTTCCCAGTGGAGGATCTGGGACCTCTTCTCAGCTGACACACAAGTGTCCTCCTGCCATCAGCATGCTCGAGTATCGTAGAAGTACACATGGTGCCAACAAGGGTTTGGCTGCAGTATCTGAAGATTATCATCAGCTGTCCTCTTCTTCATTCTCTGAAGATGCTGAGACGTTTATCCTGAATGCCATAAACATGAACTTCTTTGAGCGCTTGAACTTGGCGTGGAAGATAGTCTTCCCATCACCTGCGCGGAGAAAGAGCTCAAATGCGAGGATTGCCAAACAACGGCTGAAGATGATCCTATTCTCCGACCGATGTGCAGTGAGCGACGAGGCTAAGAGGAAGATCGTCAACAACATCGTGCATGCTCTCTCAGAGTTTGTGGAGATTGAATCACAGGATAAAGTTCAACTGAATGTCACCACCGACACAGACCTTGGAACTATGTACTCGGTCACAGTACCTGTTCGACGTGTGAAGCCAGAGTATCTAGATCTAGAGGAGATTGGATCAATTACCAACATTGAATACAAAGAAACAGGAGACCAATCTGGTGCAGTTGATGTCAGATTCGATTTCTACATCCCGGATTAAAGAACCAGGTGATCACCTCAAGCCAAAATCAAAGTACAGCATGTGGGCAGCATCAGAGGTTCAATCAAACCAAATCCCCACCCACCTTTCTACGATTTTGAGCTTTCGCAAGTTCTGTTAAGTTTTAAATCCTTTGTATATATATATCCCAATATCTCTCTTCTTAGTGTACTGAAGATTCTTTGTTGTTGAATTTGCAACGAGATTTAACCCTTGGTCTTTTGAATCCTACTTCTGTGCATCTTAATAGTTGCTTTGCTTTCTTGTATTGTTCCTCATAAATGTTAACTTTCACGTTCCTGCTGAAATGACCTTGCCAGCAAAACCAAACTTTAAAAGCTCGCCATCTGGTTCAAAAATTTTGAGCTCCATCAACTCTGATGCCAATCCATCAACACCACAGTTCATCATCAAATACCTTGGACCAAATGATCGATCAAGGAACAATCCGTCGGGATTGTAGCTGTTCTTCCTGCAAAAGTTTGTTTGGTTTTGGCCAAAGAAGCAGAAGGGAGGAAAAAGATGAAAAGTCTTTAAAGAATTGGTACCCTATGATTATATCCATCCTAATAATCAAAATTTAAAACATCAAATTATAATATAAATAATCTTAAAGTTAAAGAAAAATCGAATTTTCAATTTTAACTCCGAAAGTATTTCAATATAGTATTTTCAAATGTGATATTAGTGGGAAGTAGGGAACAAACGAAGTATAATTGTTGAACTTTTATTATATAATTATTGAAGGGAAAAATTTACGCTATTGTACGACTTGCAGCCTACCGGTGCTAGGGCCTAAGAGTGAACATTGGTGCGGTTCAGACCGCACCGTACTGACGTAAACTGCATCGCACCGCATGTTATTTGTACCACACTGCATAGTAGACCGCAATTTAATGGGTGCAGTCAAACCAAATCGTTTAGATAGTCGGTAACCGCACCGCATATTTGACTGTGATGTAATATAAATTATGTATAATTGAATTGATAAGTTTGAATTCACTTTCTATATTTGTGATGAGTAATTGTAATAAAAACGAATATTTAGGATCCTATCTAGTAATAACTAACCTAATATATATGCATCACTTTAATTATTTTTATAACGATTTTAACCACTCATAATTATTAAGCCCAACCAATTATATAAGAAGTACATAATTGGGCACGTACCGATAGAACTCCTTGCTCATATATTTTGCGCAGTGGATTTAATATTAATTATCGATGATTATGAAAGCTAAGTACAAATCGTATAAGCTTCCCCAAACAGTAATTTCCATTTCCATCTCAGCAACCAAACAGGAAAGTGAAGAGAGAGGGAGGAGCTTATTAGATCATTGGTGATGGGGAAGAAGCAGTGTGGAAAACGACTATCTATCTTGGCTCCTCCTTCTTCTCTTCTTCTCCTTTTTGGCCATGATCTCTCATTTATGCACATAACCCTACACTTGTGACCCATTGCCGTACCTAAAACGTTCATATCATTTCAACACCCTAAAATTTTAATATTCTTTTCGAGGAACAAAATAGGGATGTATTTGATGACATATAAACTAATGAGACCACAAAATGAATCAAAACGACCCTAAATATGATGGCTAAATAACATCATTTTGGGTGTTATCAACTTCCCCACACTTAGGTGCTTTTTTGCACTAGTTAGAATAGTCGGGGTTGAGTTAATGTTACTCTCATCTCAGTGTGAAAACACAAACTCCCGGATGAGGATCTTGTCAACTAAATAGGTTTAGACATTCACGGTGTGCGCTGGGGGGCTCTAAAAAATAATAAAACAATGGACTCTTTGAAGATGCTTTTTATTTTTTCTTTTCAAAGTAGGAGTCAATTTTTGAATCTCCTTTTTTAAACATTTGTGAACTTGGCACAAAAAATTTGCAATTTTTCAAATAGGCTTCTCTCCCTTGTGACCAATAGCGAAAGGACATTGCATTCCCATTCTTGGCCCCATGTGGGGAACATGATGGTCGGATTCATTTCCCGAGCACCACTTCCCAACATGCACTCCTCGTCTTAATGTCAATCGAGTTGCCACACATGTTGGGTACAGATGAGAGTCGAGTTCTCTTGACTCGCTAAAAGGAACACTATCTCCTTACCATACAAGTCTGTGAGGAGGAGAGGTGTTTGGGGGGTGGACTGTAGTCAAAGATGATCGGGACTTTAGAAAGCAATCGGAAACCCAAACACATCCTCAAATGGCACTCCAGACTTAGAGAAGCGCCCTTCGATGGCTCAACTCAAACAGTATGACTGGTTGCCTCTTATGTGAGAACCTCAATTTTCAAAAGATTTTTTCAACGTTGAGCACATTTTGCAAATATTTTTTTAGCCCAAAATTGGGAGAGAATCACACACACATGTCTTGACCTAAGTAGTAAATATTATCAACTCGCCAAAGAGGAAGATAGGAGTAAAACCCCTCATACACGGACAAATCTTGTAAATGCAAACTACTCCCTATAAAGCACACCACTTCGACTATCTAACAACTCAAAGCACATTGAGGAGGTAGATGCAAGGGACGAGATTTTTGGATCCCTCAAATTAGAAATTTTTTTGGGTATTATCATCAAGGTTCCAAACATAAAATCTAAGCCATTCAACATCGCAAAACGCATTCAATCGATAGCAAACACTCACTCACACAACTATCAACGTCGTACATCCAAAATTATAGGGAGGCTACGAACGACCACGACACAATCATCATGAATCATTCAAACATGCATAAACATCCCCCCACACTTGAGAGACACATTGTCCTCAATGTGGAAGAATAAAGGTAGGTTCACGACTCGTTACCATTGGGTGTTTTGTGGGTTGGTGTAGGTTCACAAGTGTAGGTGTTGGTCTTCATGGTTGGTATAGAACAATAAAGCCCATAAGAAAAAGAGAAAATAGAAGGTTATGGGAGCACAAACACAAAGTAGTAATAAACACGTATGAAGTACGAAAAATGAAAAGCATATAAATAAACATTGTTTAAAGTCAAAAGAAAGAAAAACTTAATCGTCCTCACTGTTCGTGTCAACATCACCCTCCTCCTCAACATCAAACTCCATATCCTTATAAACTAGATCATCGCCCTCGAATGGGGGTGATAGAGGAAACGATTGCTCCATCGTTTGAGGATTCATCTTCATCTCCTTCATAATCATGTGCATGGCGCCGACAACATGCCTTATAACCTTCCTTTCACACTCGAGCAAGAATCAAACTTCCGTTTGATTACCGATAATTGAATGTTATGCTCAATAAGTTTAGCATTTTTCTCAATGAGTGTATCAAGAAGAGTTTCATAGGTGTCATAAGAGGATCCTCCTTCATTTTTGTTGGCTCTTGATCGATTATCTTGAGGTTGTAGGCGGAGTGACCGAGGCACTATTCCTTTGATTCTCTTTCGGCTCCCAAGCACTTCAATAAGCTTCATGTTAGAGAGACGATCCTTAGCGAATGGTTGGGAGGATCTCATGACTGTGCGATTGTTGGCTTCCAAATCGATCTCGAAGTGCCTTGCGAGCCTAGTGACAAAGACGCCTCCATGAATGGTCTAGACCTTAAAGCTTGTGACACTCTTGTAGAGAGTCTTGATGATAACCAATCCGAGATGGAGGTGGGGCTCAACAAACGTAGATCAGAGGAGGTTCAAGTACCCCAATGCATTCAAAAGCGTGATTCTATCTAGACTCAGTAATGATCAAAATCTCCAAACTCTGCCACAAAACTCGAGTAAAAGTCTGTATATAGGCTAGAGAAACAAAAACTAAACAAAATCCCAAAAAGGAAAAGAGTCCTAAACACAAAAGGTCATTCTAGCTCGTCAGCCCCAATCCCCCCTATCGTTAGACCTCAGATCCGCGATCCAGAATTATTTTCCAACTGACCGAGGAGTCTCCTGCTCCTATTCCCCGATCACCTCCCATGATTCCCCCGTCGGAGATTTTGGTAATCCTGGCCGGGGGAATCACATCAGTCCCTCCCTATTGAAGAAGTTTTACCCTAAAATATTATGTATTCCTGCAAGAGAGACCATCACCAAAACTTCCCGCCTGAATTCTACTCAGCAGTCAATATGTATCTTCGAGCCATAAGATGGATTCCACTTCCATCCTCCAAATTTGAATCACTTGCATTTCTTTTCTCCCTTGCCTAATTCAGATTTATAGGTCGTTGATCTTCTCAAACTTCAGCTGGTGACAATGGTTTGAGCATAAACTTCTGATCTCCTTGCTTGAAATGATAACTAATATGTCTCTAGTCGTGAATAACTCCACGGTCATATTGCCATGGACAATCTAATAAGAGATGAGCAACCTGCGTTGGGGAAACATCACATAAGACTTCATCTGCATACTCACCAATCTGAAATCGAATCTTGGCCTTCTTGTTAACCTTGATGGATCCATAGTCGTTCAAAAAGTGAAGGTGGTAAGGATGTGGGTGCTTAATGGTACTCAATCCTAGCTTCTTTTACTACATCAAGACTCACCACATTGGTGCAGCTACCACCATCGATCACCACAAACATCAACTTTCCATCCACCAGACAATGGGTATGAATCAGATTATCTCAATTTTCTTTGTCAAATAGAGATTCAAGGGAGAGCACTCTACGATTGACTCCAAGAAACTTACTTGTTGGAGGGACTTCAGCAGTGATGTGATCATCAACATCATCATCATCATCATAATTGATTCCCGTACCCATTGGCTTCTCTTTATCCTCCTCCTCATAAAAGAATTCTCCATCTTGCAGAACTAGTGCTTTCTTGTTGGGTACTAATTTTCTTTGTGACCCCAAACCAGACATTTGAAGCATTGGATGCTTCTACTTGATCCTTCAGGTCAGCTTGAATGACAGGGGCCATGTTTCTCAATGCAGCCTTAGATCACTGTTGCCTGGTAAGTTGGGATCACTTTTTGAAGTAACCTCGGACGCAGGCTTTGGAGGGAATACCAACTTACATAGTTTACTTTCATATGCCTCTTCGCCTTCATAGCTTAATGAACCACTTTCCCGAGCTCCATAGAGTGATGAAGTTTGACTTCCTGCCTGATTTCTCGATTGAACCCATGAAGCAATCGAGCAATCATTGCTTCCTTGTCCTCTCTCAAGTATGCCTTCATCAAGAGCAATTCAAGCTCTTTGAAGTATTCATCGACAGAGCGTGCTCCTTGTTGAATTCCCTTCAATGAATCATTAAGTTCTCTCTGGTAAAAAGGAGGAACGAATCGATCACACATCAGGTCTCTTA